AAATATGTGGTTAAAATGAGTTCAAAGTAAAAATGAGGACCAAACAGGGGCTTAGAGACTTACTCCAATAAGCCGAGAAGTATTATCTTGCCAAATATTGAAAGAGTCATCTTAGGCCTTATTTTCCTGTGGCGAAAATAATACCATTAGCCTGCTAACTTCACTTGAACTAGTATGTGTTAACTGAGAGACTGACCTGTCCAGAATGAGTGCAAAAGGGGCCATGACAATTGTGGCTATGGCATGGCGATAGACGACATATACATAGTTACTCATTCTTTTATTTAATGCAGCTTTTGAGAGGATATCCATTCCTGCATAACCAAATTGCAGAAAAACTACAGCAAAGAAGGGTTTAACCTTGTGAAATTGAGTGCACATTGTCTCTGTTGATGGAAGGTACTTCATTTCACCCAGTTTTGATCACCACATCAAAATCTTCGAGACGACCCTTGTAAACATATACTACGAATAATCAGCCCTCGATGAATTGGGACTCAAGTAAGTTCACGAGAATTTGTACCTACTTGGGTTCTTGTCTAAAATTATAGTAGTCCTCTACTTTATTCTGCATGCTTTTTATTTTTATTGGTCGAGAGCAAGTAAAATACACGATTTAAAATGATTCGCTTTAATGTGAGTGTTACGTCCACTTGTTACCATAAAGTTTTACGATTCTGATCACATGTCACTCTCAACCGAGAAAAAGAGTCTCTTCGCCTTTAATACCTTCTATTTATATAGGAAGGAATTGTTAATCATGCTACATGTTCAGGGATTTTTGCCAAATAGGTTGTCAATTAACACAATTTCATTAGATGTTGGACAAAAAACAAATTTAAATCAATCAATCCACTATTATCATCTCATTATTTGTAAAGTTTTTAGTACATTTTATCTGTACAAGGAGCTTAATTTGAGAAATTACTAAGAAAACCTAATACATTAAAATGCCTAGCATGCATCTAGAACATTAAAAGTATTTGCCTTCATCAAAACCCTGAAATTCCATTGGCAAATTGCTCAAGTGGGCTGTTGGGTGTAATCGTAAGAATCACTTTTCATTTCATCCCTCTAGTTCCGCTTCTTGCTCTCAAAATGAAGAAAGACTTGTTGGAAATGGCTGGTTAATGCTCGAAGTCTGCTTTGCTACGTCTGAGATTACATCACCTCTTAAGAGTGAAAAATCCCTTCTTGCCTGACCAGTTTGAGCACCCTTTTAGCCTTCTCTCTATATTATGCCTATGATGATTCCTTCGTCACATTCGGATGCAAACGCATGTGCTGTAATTAAACTCCACATTTTCAATAGAGAAAAAGGAGGAAATATCTTTTGCTTCAGTTGGAATGAGTTTTTACACTACCAAGTGTTGGATTGTAAAAAATGAAGCGTCTCTAGGAAGGATGAATGTGTAGTCATAATAGAATAGATAAAATAAAAAATGAGAAAGTACGCTAAGAAGTCAAGATAACATCAACTAAAAAAAAAAAAAAAAAAAAAAAAAAAAAAAAAAAAAATTA